TCTCATCCCTAACCCTAACTTCCTTTAGAGGACTCTAAATCAATCACAGAAAGGGAGAAAAGAGAGAGACACTTCGATTAACTTAAACTCAGAGGTTCGTCTACATTACCTGATTTTGGTTTCGAAAGACTTGATCTAGAATTCCCCAGTTGATGCTGCAGTTCACGCACAGGAAACGCTCGGTAAAGTTTCTCGCAGAAGTTTTGCAGGAAAAGAAATGCAAGTAAACCTTTTTCTGCAGAAAAAATGCCTATTTATACTTCTGGGCAAAATTACATCTCAACGGCTGAGATTCGTTTAATCGTACGGTCCCTGTTGACACCGTTTGGAATTCAACGGACAACCCCAAACGGTACCGTTTGGAACTTGACGGTTCGTTTTTAAATTTGCCCGTTTAACTGCTGCAGTTATCTCTTTACGGCTGCATTTATTGCACACGTCATTCCAAGGACAACTGTCACACCACGTTGTCAGATTTTCCAGACGGACCCACTCACGCCCATTTCAACACCTTTGTTTACTTTTCTCAATTTTGTCAAGTGTTTCACTTCGGCTCTGGCCACAATAATGCTGCATTACATTTCACATCGACTTCGGCCACAGTAATCTTGCATCACACATTTTATTTCGGCTCTGGCCATTATGACTTCGGTCATTATATTTTATTATGGCTCCGGCCATTTTAACTCCCATTTTTATTTATTTAAGCCTAGCTCAGCACTTCTGTTTACTTATACACTTACACTTTTAAACTAGCATAGTGTTTCACTTCGGCTCCGGCCACAGAGGCACATGTTTTGCTTCGGTTCTAGTTACTGTGACTACATGTCACATACTCTACCTCGGCTCCGGCCATAATGACTCCGGCCATCACATTTTATTACGGCTCCGACCATTATGACTCCGGTCATCACATTTTATTACGGCTCCGGCCATTATGACTCCGGTCATCATATTTTATTGCGGCTCCTACCGTCATGACTCCGGTCATCATATTTTATTATGACTATGACCACCTAGACTCCTGTCATCACCTTTTACTATGGCTACAGCCACGACTAATTATAGTCATTATTTTTACACGACCACAGCCATGATCGCTCCGGTCATATTCTATTTAAGACACTCCCAGTGTAATCCACTGTTGCATATTTCAGTATTAGCTACGGCTATGTTTACATTTAAATTACAGACTTTATCTCTTCCTCTTACTTCCATAACCTATCCTCATTCTCTTTGTTTATACGCTTCCCTTAACATCCCCAATAACATCATTCACAAGTGAATGACTCCGGGGGGGGAATAGTGTAAGGATAGGTCCAAGGTGCCAAGCCTCGGACTCGCTCAAATGGCTGCATGACAAGGACAATAAGCATGCCCGCACCTGATTTCTTACGATGAGTGGCACAGCAAGTATGGTGGACGCTCGTGCACCTGGATACCTCTCAAATTCCCGGTCTCGAAATAATCGTCTGGATGGACACGTCAGGCTCCGATTATCTTGCTTGGCATGCCACGTGGGTTCCTCATTGGATCCTATAAATACCCCCTGGGCCACGTCAAAAAGGTAATTGAAACCAACCCTAAACTCTTTTTATCTCCGCCCTAAAGGTAGCCCCGATTATTGCTGACTTAAGCATCGGAGTGTCTACCCCGAGTTCCACCTCGGGGCTTTGCAGGTTATTCCGGAGTGCAAGCGCGGACTGAAGAAGGACTTCTGGTTTGGTGCAATTACAGGAACTTTCTGTTTGGCATCTAGAACAAAAAAAATTCATTCCAAAAATTTATTAGGCGCTGTTCTGTTTATCAGTTTTCAAAGAGTTTATAATCAATATTTAATAATTGATAATTGTTGTTGGAAAAGC